GTTATGTGTCGATGTTAAAATTCCTGCCGCTGACGTTAATCCCAAAACCCCATGGTGCGCCCCGTCTACAGCTCGGCAGATGTGCGGACAGAGGCCTTACAAGGATGTGGAGCGGGGAGTTTATGATATGCAGTTATTGGGGGATACACACATTTATCAGGGGAGTAGTTTTCCTCCATGTATGGTGCTCCCTCAAGTCCTAAGCTACAGGAGGAGACATGGTTAGTGTACTTCTTGTCAATAGACAGGAACCACAAGTCATTAAATCACACCCACTTTCTCTTGAAGCTTGTAGGAACCATGATGTTGCATCTGATAGAGAACAAATTATGAACTCAAACATGCATGGGCTATTAACTGTGACTGCATACAGGCCAAAGCATGAGAAAAATGCCCTCCAACAGTAACATGTGAAAATCTAGCAAATCCCTATGGTTGTCGTGGCACATGTTCAAAGCTGAGTGAGCTTGTGAGTATGAGAAGTGGCAGCTCAAGCCTTTGTAATATCACAAAGGGAACTATAGTTGACTGTGGAAATCAAAGTGACAGAAAACAGGGGAGGTACTAAGTGGGCAGTGGAAGGTCCTAGGAATAAGTACGACACAAAACAGTTCTGACAGCTCAAATACTGTACCTCAGATCATTAAATTGCCAGTGCTAACGAGACACTAGGAATCGTATGTATACCATATTAAGAAAAAGATGAAGGCATGAATTTTGTCCATATATGTTAAGCTTTCACCGTTAATTGCATTTGAATCAAAATCAGAATTTGAACTGCCACAATTATAAAATTGCAAAGGCTGCAGGTATTTACATAATAGAATGTCCTCTGCAAAAATATCCTGTCTTTCTAATCTAGTTTAGACCTCTACAAATATGTTCTGAAATGCATGGGATACTTAGGATTTACCAGTTCATTATTTAGTCTGGTCTCAATTGTTAACGCTGGAATTGCTTACAATGTGCACTCTGAACAGAGTACTTTTGAAATACCTAATCTCATCTCAATAATTGTAATAAAAAACATAATTTGTTTTTCCAAAACTGTGCAGCCCTATTACTCATAACCTTCCTCAAAAACATGTTCCCACAAAGTGCATGGGTCATTCAGGTGCTCTGAAAAGCATCCCCCTTTTTCTATAGACTTTATCCCAGACAGGTGTGTGGCACTAATCCTTGCTAAGCTTTGTGAGCAGTCAAACAGGTTACCCAACCTTGAAAAACAACTTGGAAGATTTAGGATTTTGGCATCAAAATGATTTATGTAGGTGTTCCAACCACAAATAGCTGTTATGTGAATGTCTTATACAAAAGGAGAGGCTTTACGCACCTTGGAAAGTAGCGCCAACCAGTGAACTCACACCTCTATCAGCCAGTTGCACGTAAACCACGTAGTAGCCCTTTCTTTGGCTCTGCTCTCTAAACTGGCGAGGACACACAATCACTCCCTCTCTCTCTTCTCAGAGCCAGACCTTGCTCGACCGGCCTCTACACAGGACTTCCCGGTTGACAGGCATCACCATAGCAACCTCTCCAGCCCAGTTTAAAAGGCACCGCGCTCTGGTCTGAGTGTGGGGCACCTCCTTCAGTTAAACGGCCCTATTGTTGTGATAAGGTGATAATTCACAGTGCAGGGTTAACCAAAGGGGAATAGTTTATCTCTGCTCAGACAGTGCAGTGACTCCATGACACCCTCCTGAACTTTATCTGTCCCTACGCTCCTGCTGCTTTGTGAACTTTAACGACCACTATTCACAATAAGAGTTTCAGAGCCCCACTGCTATGGACTGGACCTCCTCTCATGATAAAACATACATAGGTGGACTTAATTTAAATGATTACTCAAAACAGTTAATAGTATGGTTGGTTTACACAGTTCACAGTTGAGTCACCTTCAGTCCTTTAGTCCTGTTAATTTTTCTGACAGTGTAAATTAATCAGTTGAAGTATCAGAGTCCACTACATGTGTTTTATGTGTGTGTTACTTTAAGCACTAACAGCTCTACTGGAAAAACAAAGAGTCAGCTCTTCTTAATAATTCAGTGGTCTGGCATGGTACAGCAGATATCCTTTAACCAGGCCTGTTCTTTCATCCAGGGGCGATTTGCCAAATGGTGTAAGGAGCAACTCCAAGGCTCTGCATGTGGAGCAGACTGTCACCCTGCTGGGACCAGTGCTGACACTCTGTCACTCTGGTTAAATGAGGTAATCACGCAAGAAGCGATTAGTATGACACCTCTCCCACAAAGTATCTGAGTTTTACCTCACTATACAAACACAAGACTTCATCTTTTCTGTTACACAGACATAATCAGGACAACAGGGAAACTGGGGGCCTTTGTACCAGAGATGGACCAGCTCCAGCAGACTGTTACCACCCAGTAAAGGTCAGCCACTGTCCTGCTGTACAACGTACTATGAACCAATATGTTGTACTCATTAAAAAGGGTCTGTGAGTCAACTGCCGATGACATAAATCTGTGACATCATCTCAAACTACATCATTTAATGACCGGACCCTGTTTTTCCACCATCTAACTTGGCTGTATTTATGAGAAATCTCAAACAACATGTTGTGAAAATGTAAAGATAATCCTCATCTACAACTAGGCATACATCTGCACTGATAACAAGATTTGTTCAGGTACTGAAGTCACGCTCGTGGAATGTCACGGAAATAAACATAAAGCACCATGGTTTATTCCAGCTGTAAACACAATTTTATCCTAAAGTTTGGGTCATCCAAAAGAAGCACTCTTTTAGGGAGCTGGTGAGTGTGAAAAATGCATGATTTCTACACATTTGAACTATTAACCATAAGTTAAAAACATGTGAGATCTCAGAAGAAAAAAAAAACATGTGATAGCTCAGGCTTCTGATGATAAAAATCTGCATTACAGTAAGACATTCTGTTTATATGCTGCATTTCCACACTTATTAGAAGAATTAGAAAACAATTATAGAGAATGTCAACACAGACGCAGTACCCTGTTTTGATAAACTAAATGAAATCTGCAGAAACTTGAAACTGTATCTGGCAAAAGTTTGTGAAAGTCCAGCGTGAGCAGAGTGAGCGGAGTACTTACAGGCTGCGCAGTGAGCTGCCGTCAGTGCAGAGGACAGAGGAAGTGAATGAAAATAAAGGAGGCTCCACTGCTGCTCTGTCCTCCTCCCACTGCTGTTCTCTGTGTCTCTGGCAAACAGGCTGCCTTTTATCAGCACTGAATGATTCAGCGCGGGTCTCCTCAATGTGAGACTCTGTGCTGCAGTGTGTGGCATGTGTTTGAATATGTGTGTGTGAGCATGCTCTTGAAATCTCATCAGGGAGAAGGAGCTCAGTAATAGTTTCCATCCACAGCTGGAAATAATAGAGACTTCCATACAGGCACAATCCTGACATCAGTACCGCCCCCCAGTGTTTTACATTGTAGGGTAAAGGAAACAATTTTTAAAAGGCATCTCAACAAATAAACTAACCAATGTTGACTCTATAATAGACTTGACTAATTACATATTAGTGGGTTATGGTTAATGAGTGGGGCAGATGGCTTCTAATAGTTTTGTATTGTCAGGACACCGCTAGATGGAGTCAAAGACTCATGTAAGTGAGGCGCCCCAAGCAAGGACCTTGCTAGGATCTTGCAAGTAAACTTTTAAATGTAAAATCAAGCTACCCAACTTATTTGAAAAGTAGACTTTATCATATACTAGTTTACACAGGTTTGATATCATGGGCTAAACTAATCATTTTCAGTTTCACTTCACTCTCAGTAGACAGTACACTATTAAACTTTAATACTGACGCTACTTTTTGATGTAGGCCTATACGTTTTTTTTAAGGTTTATTTGGGACAATGTATTTCATAAATCATAAGATACATATTCATCAGTGTCCATCCCTGTATAAACACACTGACTCCCGTTGTATCGTCTGTGTGAATCCTAGCTCTCGGCTCTGACACAAGATAAATATTTAACAGCCCTGGTACCAAAGGTCATATCTCTCATTTCTGACCCACAGGCTTTATATAGAATCCTAAAAAAAACAGACATTCCAAGAACCTATGTGACAATAAAACATAAGCATATTGTTGTCATGTAAGTAATGATTTGGAAATATTTCTTATCTTAGGAGAATAGACATGTGGACTTCTACGAGTTCCACAGCACTGCCCCTCAGTGGTACTCAGATGAACTGTGTGTGAAGAAATTATTTCCAAAATGCACAGCCAGATGTCGCCAAGTCTCTGCGGTCTCAACAGCTTTAGCCCACACTGCACTGGAGAAGGTGAATAGTAATAATAATACATTTATTTAAATTGCACTTTACATTTGAAAGAAATCTGAAAGTGCCAAAGTAGGTATATTACATCAGAGTTAAAACAATTACACAGTTAGAAGTACAAGGTCATAAGAAATAAGAGAAAATATTAAATTGGTAGCAAAAAAGTACTTGTAGGACCTTTGGATTAAAAAATAAAACATACTAACATGGTATTCTAAACTGACATTTACCTCTATACAGTATTTGTAACATAAAAAAGAGGTGTAGCCAGATGTTATCACGTAGAAGAGAGACCTTGTATGACTTTTGTAATTCTATCCTCTGATTGTCGTCATTCATATCATCTGTATTTAAACCTATTGTCATTCACATGATCTCTGGAAGCATTTATACATGTTTTCAAATCACTCTGCAGTGTTTAATCTAGGTCAAAAATTGCAGCTTCCATTCTGCTGATACAAAAGAAATACAGAGACACAAATGAAGTCAATAATAAACTTGCCCTTGTAAATTTATTTTAAACTGAAACAGAAACATAGAAATGAGCATTTTCTTTTTCCTATGAAAATGTGAGTTTGACTAATATAATTCACATTATTGTGGATTATAAGTGATTTGTTTTGTATTTTTGTTTATTTGCTAACTTGTGTTGAATAGGCTAATCGTATTTTATTATTTGAAAACATCAAAAATAATAATACAAGAACAGAAATAGTTTAAGTACTTTTTATTACATATATCATAATATTTGCATATATTTTATATTTTTATTATTATTAAATATAATAAAAATGTAAAAACATCCAAATATTCAGTGTAGTGGTAATTTAGTGTTAAAATAAATAACAGATACAAAATCTCAAATTAAAATACAACATCATACATAAGTTAAACTATCCACATTACATATTTACATTATTCACCATTTCTTAGCTGAGATTACAGGGCAGCTATGGCCCCACTGCAGATGAACTGTCGGCACAGCGGACAGGTGCCAAACTCCTCCAGAACTCGTATTGCACAGTTTGAACACAAACACTGGTGTCCACAGGGCTTCACTATTATCCTGGCCTTTTTTCCCAAACACACAACACACTCCTCGCAGTGGGCTTTGTCTGCAGAAGAAGCAAAAACAAAAAAAAACAAAAAAAAAAAACACATACATATTTAGGAATCATTTGTGTAGATAGCCACTGAAAGTGCACTGTATTACAAAGTAGTAGTACCTGCTATAGTCTGTGTATCCAGTAGTGTGATGTCTGTGCATGAATCTAAACTTGGGGCAGAGGGAGTCTCATGTTGAGGAGGAGGACAAGACTTTTTTGTGCGAAACAACTCTTTCTTCACTGATCCTGCAGTTAATGTATAAAGTTAAATATAGTTAGTACAGAAGTGTAGTAGCACAAGTTGAATTATTCAGTTTAGATGGTACGACAGTTGACCTACCTAATAATGTAATACCGCATGTTTGACCATATGCATCGATCATGGCCCATAGTGGTCGGCTGACGTCCACGCCTGTCAGTAGTTTACACTGAATGCTGTTGTTGATAGACACATTTAAATTGCCATTGTCTGACACCCAGAACTCCAGCAGTGCACCTGCCCTGACTAGGGAGTCTCTGACTGGAGCAGCCCAGTGTCCCGGGAGTTTTGTGAGGCAGGGGATGGCCATGCAGGGCAAGTCTCCAGTGCGGGTTGAGGGAGGCACAGTAGTGAAGCCCACGCGGAGCGCTCCGGTCCAGTTGAGCTTGTGTTTGTTTATCCTGAGTTGTACCCTCTCCTGCACCCTGACGGAGCGGCAGCTGAAGAGGAGCCCGTTCTTAAAGGTGTCTGTGTTCCGCTGCGCACATCTCCCGTGTTCAGAGAGGCGAATGCACACCCCTTTAGTCTGAGAGTGGAAGGTCAGGGGTCCAAGGCACTGTGGACCGCACTGGTGCACCTCTGCAAGCACATACAGTAGCATCATTTAGATGACTTTAAACATCTGTTATTGCAGCAGAAGAAATTATTCTAGAAATAATTCAGAAATAATTTTAGTAGCCCGAGAGCTGTAAAGAGAGGCAGTAGTTAGTAGTTATCAAGTAATTTGGTGATATGAAATACTACATAAACCTGTCAGAGAGGCTTTGTTGACAAGCCTTATCTTGCACACTATCGCGTGTAGCAACACCTCACAACCACTCATTCATTGTGAAACAGTCCCAGACCTCATGAGTGTGAATGGTATTCAATTTCATAGATTTTCAACATAACGTAAACCTGTCATGATCAAATGGAAATATTTTTATAAAAACCCTAACTCTAACCTAACTGCCATAATAAGCATTAACAGAAAAACAATTGTTAAAAATACAATTGATTTATTTGTACTTTTAGTTATGAATTATTTGGTCATTTAAATTGTTTTAAACGTTGTCATCAACAATGAAAAATGTCTTTTTTGAGTTTTTTTTTTGTACAAAATGTCTATCCTTAAATTCCCTCTTTTAAAAATAATCAAATAATAATAATAAGCTCCAATATGAACGTTATCTTACCAGAGCTGCTGAGGCTGCTCTTCCTCACCATGTTGTCTTAGTGAAGGTTTGTGTCCTCGTTGATGTGAGAAGTTCTTGCTCCTGTAGTTGATTTCTTCATTAGCAACAAACTGGACAGCTGCTTTTATATGAGTGCATGTGCACGCCTAAACCAAAACAGTTGTTATTACATACTGAAAGGGGAGGAGCTAAAATTACGTTAGGAAAAGTCCCTACAACAATCAGCCATATCACTTTCTGAATATTTCTGTTTGTGTGAGTGGTAAATCATTGGGGGTATTCCATGACGCGAAAAGCCAAAGCCTAGCTTATTTGGGCAATCCAGGCTTGTCAAATCCTCAGTTCTGTTGCCCTCACACAATGTAAGAACAACTCCGTCACTTGAGACTTTTGAACAGACTCACACACGTGTCCGTGAACGCTACACTCATCAAAAAGATACAAATTATATAAAAGCCTATGGCCATTATTTCATTAAAATGATCTGGCACATGTGGCTGTTGTGAGGGACAGGGCAAATTTTACGCACAGACAGACCCTGATTTAGACTCTGAAGATGGTTTTCAGTAGGTTCTGTCCATCACGTCTGAGTCTGAGTCTGTCTCCTTCTTTCCCTCGTCTCTCGCTCCCTGTCAAACTGCAAACACGTCGGCGCGGGTTTTATCATTTCTTGTAGGCTACATGTGAAGAGTTCCGTTACAGCTTTATTTTTACGTACAGTGGACAAGATTCACACGTAGAGGTCTACCGCGTCGGGCCCCGTTCAGCTGAGAGTTGACGTCCTGACGCAGACCTGAACCACAAGAGCTTCTGCAGAACTCATTAGGGTCCAGGAGGTGCATTGTGGGATTTTTTTTTTTAATTCGCTGTGACAATAAACAATCATATTAAACAGTAAATAAAAAACAATAATAATGAATTCACATTTATTATTATTATCCTAGTTTCAGATCAAGATTTTCAGGATAAGCCTGGAGTTGTTAAGTAACTTGATGGAGTGCCACAATTGTAAACACTCACCGTAAATATCATAAGTTCATCCATTTACTGTAAGTAATAAAAGCTCAAACGCTTTCAGTTTCCTAATGTGTAATTACTCACATGCGGTCACGTGTATCTTGTTTTTATTGTCCTGGTATATGGCTATCATTGTAAATGTACACAGTAAAAAGTGGGTGCTTAACAATCCAGTGAATAGAAAAAATGAATAAAATTAATTTTCATAAAAAGTATATTTGCTGTTTTAAGAACTATACTTTTTGATATTTTTTCTGCTGTCCTTCGGACTTCCTCCAGCTCTCATCTGAGCCCCTCGTTTCTCTAGCTTCTCGTGTTTTTTCAAGAAAGTCATCGGGTTTTTTCAAATAATGGTACCAAAAGTGGATAGTTTGCTCATGACATCACTTCAAATTACGGCTGTCCTCTCTTTATATTAAAGCCACGTGGTAGAGATAGGAAGTCATGGGACAGGAAGTCAGGAAGTTTAGGATGAAATCATCACTGTAGGAAAGTTACTGGGACTCCTCTGTCCATGTGACTAATGCAAATCTGAATGTTTACAATGAAATGAGAATGACAGAAGAGCAACAACAGATAGCTTTAATTTAACCAGAATACAGTGGGAAAAGATGGTAAAAAAAAAAATAAAAAAATTGAATGCACTTTTTAATACTTAATGCATACTTAATTCTTTAATACTTAACACTGACCAAGACTTTTACTGGCACACTTGATGCATTGTTAAAATAGGGCCTGAACATTGTTAATGAAATAATCCAAAGAAATCTTGAGATATTCTTTTTGTCAATATTGCTCACCCTTACATAATATAAACTCTCAGGCAATATTTAAATTATTTATTTAAAGGTACTGTACTTTATATCACAACATTATATTTAAAAATTATATATTACAAGTACAAACAAATGACAAGCCACAGTAATGAGCCAGTCTTTAAGCATACCTTCCAGTGTAACAAATAATGAAGTAAAAGAGCAAATAATTGCCTTTCTAGGTGGAAACATACCAATAAAGATGGAAGATTATTTATTATTCATGTAGAAAATAATTCACTAAATTGGGTTGCTGGTGCTCAGCTGTTTGTGCTCCACTGCTGGGTCAGACATGGCAGGCCATCAAAAAATCAACTTGTTCCCACTCCACCTGTTCAAAAAACTATTAATCTGCTCGCATCCAATACAAGGCTTGGCTTCGTTTGACGACCAATAGAAATGCACTGAACACCCCAGACCCAGGCCAATCCCATGCTGCATTCAAATGTAGCTTGTCTTTATCAAGGTGCCAGTCCAAATCCACATTCAGTGTATTTATGATATCTGTGTGAGGAGAACGCTGCAGACGAGGGGACGTATGGCATGGGGTCAGGGGGCTGCAGTGAAGGATCACACTGAGACTTTGTCTGCACTCCACCTGACTTGTTTAGTTTATTTAAATTTAAGGTTGCAGATGTTTTATCACAAACTGAGGAGCCTAAGCTTTGACATTGATCTGGTTTAATCGAATGTGACTGCAGACACCACTGAGGACACTCTTTGGGCCTCTTTCTTTCTGGACCAGCCTGCGTTTCTGTCGCACTAAAATTTGGAGTAGAGCAGTTCCCATGGATCCAAACATTCAGGGTTCCTTCCTCTTCAACAACAGCCTCAACCAGTTTTCCTCTGACTTGAAGGCTCCTGTGTGCCAGTATTCAGTACCCAACTCTTTTTACAAGCTCAACCCAAGTCTGAACAGCCAGCTGCCTGCTGGGACACCCCACGGCATCAGCGACATCCTTAGCCGCTCTATGATGGGAGTGGGCTCCACGGGCACAGGCACCCTGCTATCCGGATACTCTCCCATGGGTGGCTTTGGTCCCTCTATCCCCAACACACCTGTTTATTACAACCGAGACTACAACTCCTCACTGAACAGCTTCAACAAGCCAGCCTCAGAGTGTGCCATGAAGGGGCGTAGTGTGGGCTGCTGGGCCGACAGCAGCTGTGAGTGGAGAACGGGACGACAGCAGTGCTCCAACAGTGAGTGTCTCTCAGTTACGCAAGGTACAGCCTCATCTAAACATACATGTGTGAATATAGGAGGATACGGGCTGCTCAAGTATTAGACTACAGATGCATGTTAACTCAAGTATACTAACTTACTCTCATATAACTGTAAATGTAAATATACTAGAGTATATTAAGTCATATTTGGAAAACTACATAAAATTTAAGTCCATTAGCATGCTCTGTCCTAAAAGTATATACTTAAATTTAAAGTGTGTCTAATGGCAGAGGTACATCACAGCTACATAATTTCAAATTTGTTCAAAATTTTAAACATTTCCTTTCTAGATAGTGGCCCTCTTGGAGAGATGCCCAGCAGAAAAAAGCACACTAGGCCGACGTTCAGTGGACACCAGATCTTTGCTCTGGAGAAGACTTTTGAACAGACCAAGTATCTGGCTGGCCCTGAGCGCGCCCGGCTTGCCTACTCACTGGGGATGACAGAATCACAAGTGAAGGTAAAATTACACCGAGTTCATATAGTACCCAGTTACATGTGTCATTCATCACAAGCTTCATGAACTTGTTTGTGTTTTAGGTGTGGTTTCAGAATCGACGCACCAAGTGGAGGAAGAAGAGTGCATCAGAGCCCAGCTCCACACAGTTGTCACACACGGGGCAGAGCGGAGAGGGCTCCGAGAACGAGGTAGAGGACGAGGAGTACAACAAACCCTTAGACCCGGACTCTGATGATGACAAAATACGCTTGTTACTACGGAAACATCGAAGAGCATTCTCTGTGCTGCGCCTTGGACCACACCATGTCTGATCCACTGTACACTTATCCTGTACAAACACGGCCTCTCCACAGACATGCATGCTGCAATCTTGCCATAGAGATGTAATATATTTCACCTATTAAAATACCGTGTCCAATCCCTAGATTCAAAACACACTGGCACACATCAATAAATAAATATTTAAAAGTTTTTAGGTTCTATTAAGACTGATATGCCATTTATTTACTACACTAAGGTGAATGATACATATTTATTTCATTTGAGAATTACAATTTATCAAAAAACTTAATCCTATTTGTCACTAAATTAGGTAACTCCATAATCACAATTTATTGATGTATCCCTCTCTATTGTATAAAGCCTGTCCAATGCAGCAAACACTGGAGATAATACTACTGTAGCCTATACTGTATAAAAGAGTTGTACATGAATGTTTTCTATAAAAAAATAATACTGGAGAAAAATAAGTATGCATGTAGCAATTGAAAAAATAAATAAAATATAAGTAATGATAAATTATTATAAATGTTTTTTTATTCATTGATATAATGTAGCATTATATTCTTAACTGCTAAAAAATGTAAAGAGGTGAGATGACGTTCTTAGACCCTCTTAAATGAATGAGAATGTGACACTACTTGATTTTAAGTATGTAAGATGTAAGAAAAAAAACAAGTTCAAATTTATGTGAAATGAAAAACAAAGTAATTACATATAGATATGGGATGAGGTGTTGTAGTTGTAAAGCAATTTATTACTGGGACTCATAATCCACAAACTGTAAAAACTGTGTTATTGTCAGTAGTAAAAGTAATAACGAAACTGTAATAAAGTAAACACTGAAGTGGAGCAAAGGTCAAATCTGGAGCGAATTACTCTGGGGTATGTCCTAATTGAAGACAATGACCCCCAGAAGCCATTTAACATAAAATCAATATCAACAGACGAGCTCTTTCACCACTGAGAGGGCTCCATATGGTTCAGACTCAGAACGTGCAGGCTCCTAGTATCCTATATCCTAGTATTCTGTACTATATAGTTTGTTTGGTGACAATTATTGGTGCGTATTTTGTTGACAGGAAAGAAATGCAATTGATGATGAAATAATTACTTTATTATTTTAGAACTAAGCTTTTGTTTAATAATTGCTCCCAATCCTCCAAGAACATTTAGAGTTGAAATGTTAGTCAGCAAATAAACCATTGTGTTTCTACTTTATGGACTATGAATTTTACTAAACCTATTTAAACAAAACAAAAACAAAAACAACAGCAAAGGTGCTTTTATTTTTAATGTTTTTGAGTCTCCTTGAATGTTTCATTTTGCACTACTTTAATGGTGGATTCAAGGCAAGAC